AGCGTGCCGTCGGTAGAGGAAAAAAGCCACGCAGCAGCAGCAGCAGCAGCAGCAAAGTCGGGAGGAGGAGGAGGTGGAGCGAGCCTGCTAATTCCTTGCTGGGAATTAAGCGGCTCAAGACTCTCTCCACTGGCCGCCTGGGTAGTGAGCCGAGCCGAGCAGGGAGTCTGGCGAGGGGGCGGGAAGAGACTTTCCCCCCTTTTTTCCACCTCGCCTGGTCAAAAAGGAGAGCGGAGTCTCCTCAGGGCGCCCTCAGGCAGGGCAGGGAAAGGCAAGCAGAGCGAGGAGGAGAGAGGGGGGGGGGAGCAGCCAGGAAACGCCGCGGTGTGGAGGAGGAATCAATTTAGGAGAGAAAGCGAAAAGCCTTGGAGAAAGGGAAAAAAGGAAAGAAAAGAGGCAGCTCCAGGAGAGCGCGGGGGAAAGAGAAGCCTCGCTGCTGCTGCTGCTTGGGAGAGTAAATTACTGTACTTGCCTTGCCCCGGGTTAGGGGGCGCAAATTACTTGCCTTGCCCCAGGTTAGGGGGCGCAAATTACTTGCCTTGCCCCGGGTGCTGATAACCCACGCTACGCCGCTGCCATGCGCCAAACAAATCCCCAACATCGCAACACCCTACAGCCCACCTGGGATGCTCCAGATGTTTTGGGCAACAATCCCCATTGGCCTCGGCCAGGACAGCTGCGGTCGAAAACATCTGGAGGGCAGCCAAGACTGCCTAGCGATGAGAACATCATAAGAGGCTGCAGCCAGATCCCCCTCCAGTCCAGGATCCTGTTCTCACAGGGGCCAACCGGGTGCCCTTTATGGGAAACCCATAAGCTGGATTCGAACACAAGACCCCTGTCCTCTCCTGGGGTTTCCAGCAACTGGGATTCAGAAGCGTTGCTGCCTCCAATTCTGGAAGCAGAGATGAGACATGCTGTCTAGTAGAATTATTGATAACCCAAAGACGAGAAGGCTACAATTCTGGTTCCAAAGCACAGCCCATAATAATTGAAAGCACGTTGAATATTCAGGTTACTGGCATTATGTTTTGGCTTATTTATGGGGGGAGGGGAACTACTACTATTTTTTTAATATATATCCCACTGATTTGACTTGGTTTCCCCAGCCTCTCTGGGCGGCTTCCAACATACAGTGGTACTTTGGTTCTCAAACGGCTTGGTACTCAAACAACTTGGAACCCAAAACCTACAAACCCGGAATTACTGGTTTGCAAACTTTTTTTGGAAGCCGAACGTGCTCCCTTTTGAGTGTCACGCTTCTGTTTTGAGCGTTACGCTGAGGTCTGTCTGTTTTTGCTATTTATTTTGCCGTTTTGTTTTTGCAGCTCTTTTTGTTTTGTTTTTGTGACTGCGTGGAACCCAGTTCAGCTACTGATTGATTGATTGTGTGACGGCAGTACATTGTTTATTGCTTTCATTTTATGGATCAATGGTCTCGTTAGATAGTAAAAATTCATGTTAAATTGCTGTTTTAGGGTTTTTTTTAAAGTCTGGAACAGATTAATTCATTTTGCATTCCTTTCTATGGGAAAGCACGCCTTGGTTTTGGAATGCTTTGGTTTTGGAACAGACTTCCAGAACAGATTAAGTTTGAGAACCAAGGAACCACTGTATATAAAAGCATAATAGAAAAGTAAAAAGCTAAAGGTAAAGGTACCCCTGCCCGTACGGGTCAGTCTTGACAGACCCTAGGATTGTGCGGCCATCTCACTCAAGAGGCCGGGGGCCAGCGCTGTCCGGAGACACTTCCGGGTCACGTGGCCAGCGTGACATCGCTGCTCTGGCGAGCCAGAGCCGCACACGGAAACGCCGTTTACCTTCCCGCTGGTAAGCGGTCCCTATTTATCTACTTGCACCCGGGAGTGCTTTCGAACTGCTAGGTTGGCAGGCGCTGGCACCGAACAACGGGAGCTCACCCCGCCGCGGGGATTTGAACCGCCAACCATGCGATCGGCAAGCCCTAGGCGCTGAGGCTTTTACCCACAGCGCCACCCGTGTCCCGTACAGAAAATAGAAAAGTAAACATTAAAAAATACTTCCCTATGCAGGGCTGCCTTCAGATGTCTTCTAAAGATTGTACAGTTACTTATCACCTTGGCTTGGGGGGCACATAACTCAATACCCTCCGATGGAAAAGGGGTGTCCTACGGAAAAGTAAGACATTCCAGGATCAAATCAGAAATCTTCCATAAATCTGGGACTGTCCCTGGAAAATAGGGACACTTGGAAGTTCTGCCTTAAGCTCTTCCTTTATCTTAAAACTCTTACCAAATGCAGACACAGATTCGTATTTTTCGCTCCATAAGACGCACCTGACCATAAGACGCACCTAGTTTTTAGAGGGGGAATGCAAGAAAAAATATATATTTTTAAAGGGAGCACTGAGCAGAGCCTGTATGCATCCCAGGCTCTGCTCAGCGCTCCCTTTCATGAGCCGCGTGGAGTGTGTGTGAGGCGCTTGCTGCCCGTCTCCCTCCTTGGGGAAAACCCCCCAAGAGCCGCACACACGCTCCGCGCAGCTCTTTAAAGGGAGCACGGCTCTTGGGGGCTTTTCCGGGAGGTGGGGAACAGCGACGTAGCATGGGTTGTCAGCACCTGGGGCAAGGCAAGTACTTTGCGCCCCCTAACCCGGGGCAAGGCAAGTAATTTGCGCCCCCTAACCCCTAACCTGCCGCCGCTGCCAGCTTCTTCTTGCTGCTGCCTGGGCTGGGGTATTTACGGTAAGGTAGCCATGGCGGCGGCGGCGGGTCCGTGTCAGGTGATCTGAAGCGAGTTGCCGATGGCGCTGCCACCCAAACGACGCTGCTTGCCCGGAGGAGGAGGAGGACAGAGGCGAGGAAAATGCAACATGGTCCAGCAGCAGCGGCGGCGGCGGCGGCGGGGCTGTGAGGAGGGGCTGCCTGGCGCGCCCTCCGCGGCCCTGACGCGCGGGGACCACGGTGAACGCTGAGAGCCGCTGCCAGCTCGTCGGTTCCGCGAGACATGGGGCTCTGCTACAGCCTGCGCCCGAGGCTCTTCGGCGACTCTGGAGGCGGCGAGCGCGCCCCCCAGATGTTGCGCCCAGAGCGGCCGGCCCCCCCTGCACCCCCCACGCTACGCCACTGGTGGGGAAAAGGACTGAGGGGCTAAGCCAGAAGCTAGAACAGCAATAGAGAGCGCTGCGCAGTGCTGTTCTGGCTTCTGGGATAGCTGCGCAGCTTGCATTCGCTCCATAAGATGCACACACATTACTTACTTTTTAGGAGGGAAAAAGTGCGCCTTGTAGAGCGAAAAATATGGTATTCTCTCTATCCTTCCCCACTTCCCCATGGGTTTTGCCCCCAGCATGATCAACTATTAGGGAGGAATCAAAAGCTCGCAGGCTACTTTGTGCTATTTTATTTGTCTTAAACTTCAGAAGAGTTTGGCTGCCGGGGCAGGCCAATCAGAGTAGATGGACTGGCAGGTGGGCTGCCTCGTCAGAAGTTGTCCCGTGGGGGCGGGGCCAAAAAAGGTTCCCCACTGCTGCAATAATTATATCGCCCTAATGTGGATTTGGAGGGACGCGGGTGGCGCTGTGGGTAAAAGCCTCAGGGCCTAGGGCTTGCCGATCGAAAGGTCGGCGGTTCGAATCCCCGCGGCGGGGTGCGCTCCCGTTGTTCGGTCCCAGCGCCTGCCAACCTAGCAGTTCGAAAGCACGTCAAAGTGCAAGTAGATAAATAGGGACCGCTTACTAGCGGGAAGGTAAACGGCGTTTCCGTGTGCGGCTCTGGCTCGCCAGATGCAGCTTTGTCACGCTGGCCACGTGACCCGGAAGTGTCAACCCTAGAGTCAGCACAACCCTAGAGTCTGTCAAGACTGGCCCGTACGGGCAGGGGTACCTTTACCTTTACCTTTACCTTTAATGTGGATTTGGGCATTTTTCTTATGATATGATCATGAAAGGAGGCAGCAGGGGGCGCTGTTTCACACACACAAGTATTTCCAAGTGCCGCCACACGAGGGCGCCAGATGTTCAGTCTTTAGTAAAAGCATTTGCATTCTGGAAAGCAAGGCCATTATTATTATTATTATTATTATTATTATTATTATTATTATTACTACTACTACTATACTACTACTACTTTGAGGGATGGTGAATATTTCTTAATGTTGTCCAAGTATTATACCTTTAACAAAAGAAATGGAAAAAAATCATAAAAGTTGCATGTATGGCAAATGCCGTCCAAAAATGATATAATCTGGTGCTATTTTTGATTATGAGAGTTTGTGATCCGATTTTTATGCCATATCTTGGCATACTGCCATATTGCCTCTTTTGCACACGTTTCTTTAAATATTTCCCTTTCATCTCCTGACCACACACACTTTTTTTTGTCCCTTTTATTGAATTGTTTGAATACTCTGTTATCCTTGTGTATTATCAATTTAATAAAACAATAACATTTAAAAAAGGATGTTGGGTCCTGGCGACCATGTCCCAGTGACCTTTTCACTCTGGCTGCAGAAAACGTCCTCGTTCCTGTCATCAGCATCGCTCGCCCCATCTTCCGGGTGACAGCCCTTTGAGACATTTGAAGGTGGCTCTCATATATTTATTAAATTTATATACCTCCTTTCATCCAAAGGTCGCAGGGCGGTTCATATCGCCTCTCAGTCTCCTCTTCTGCAGGCCAAGGATGCCCAACTCTCTCAATCGTTCCTTACAAGGCTCGGTTTCTAGATCTTTCATCAGACCTGTTTAGGGAAGCTTTTACTGTATTACAGTATTTTAATATTTTGTTGGAAGCCGCCCAGAGTGGCTGGGGAAGCCCAGCCAGATCGTAAGGGTATAAATAATAAATAAATAAATTATTATTATTATTATTATTATTATTAATCTCGGCCGCTTCCAATGCAAAGAGAGACGACACGCAGACTTGCTTGAATTCTTTTATTTTGAAATAAACGGCTCCGATAACAACGTATGAAATCTCGCTTCTTCTTCTTCTTCTTTTGCCCCCACCCCACCCCCCGAAATGCAAAAGAGGCTTCAAGGAGCCCGCCCCCCCCCAATAAAACAGTCATCAAACCCCAGATCTGTGAGTGGCTAAATTCCACGCCAAAGGCTGCCAAAGGCTTCCAGATTTTGCAGGGAGAGAAAGAAGGCAACAGGCTTGAAGGAGGAAGCCTGCGGGAGACTTCGGCCCCCAAACCTATTGCGAAAAGGCCCCCACACCCCGCCTGCAAAAACAGAAGCTCCCTCCACGGCCATCACAAGCACACCAGAAAGAAAATACTTTTCCCCAACCCTCAAGAGGCAGCTCTAATAACAATTATGGAGAAACACAGAAAAGAGTGAAAAATAGCAGCCACTGAACCAGACGAATAGATGTACAAGGCTCCTGGGAGCGTCCAGAGTGTTTTCTTCAGCTACCTCCGCGGGGGGACAAGATTTGCAGGGAAGGGGGCCCCACCAGCCACGCCCAGGACCTGAAATCCGGGTGCTTGGGGGAGAGGGAGGCAGCAATCTGGAGCAGAAAATTTGAAATTTGCTTCTCCACCCATTTGCAAATCCATTTGCAAACCGTTGCAAAGCACCCACACAATTGTGGCTCGGTTTAAAATGTGTGTTTAAAACCGAGGGCAGGGCAGGGCAGGGATCTGTCGCCTAAGCAGCCGTTTGGGCGGACAAGGAACCCAAAAGGGGAAAGGGCGTCTGGTCTGCAACTCGCCGTCCAAGGAAAAGTCTTATTTCCGCCACCCATTCCCCAGCTGGGCACCCTCAAGATGTTTCGAACTACAGTTCCCACCAGCCGCGGCGTCTTAAGGCTGTCTCAGGTGGGGCTGGTGGGAGTTGTGGCCCAAAGCGCCTGGAGAGGGGACCGGTTTAAAAGTCACAAACTGCATTGGTTCCGCCAGCCTTTGGCGCCCTGGAGCCCTCCAGGCTGCTTCGAACTACAACTCCCACCAGCCGGATGCTTCGAACTACAACTCCCACCAGCCAGATGCGGATTTAGGGGAGCGCGACCAGTTCGCCTGCACTGGGTGCCGCTACAATGACAAGCAACAGGAGGCAAGAGGCAGGGTGGGATGGGGACTGGATTTTGGCGCAGTTCAATGCGCCGCCGAAATTTGAGAGCCCAAACTCCGCCACTGTCATAAGCCCGGGCATCATAAGGCTGTCCTGGTTGGGGCTGGTGGGAATTATAGTCCAAAACACCCAGAGAGGGGACAAGTGAGTGCTTTGCTACACCTGTGAGTGGAGATCATAGAACTGTGGGATAAAAAGGGATCCCCCAAGGTCATCCATCCCAACCCGCTTTCCTCCCCCCTGCACCACTGAGCGTGCCAGACAGGCGTGGAGGTATCATTTCGGAAAACACAAACTGCGTTGGTGACCCCGGCCTTTGGCAAGCTGGGGCCCCGCCGCTCTTTTGAGCCACAACTCCCAGAAGGCCCAGCCAGCGCCGTGGGAGTTGTAGTCCGAAAGAGCCGGCGAACCCCGGCTGGCCGAGGCCTGGGTCACACAGACAAAACAAAGGCCGGGTGCGCGCATGGGGAGGAGGAGAGGCAGATGGGCGGCGCTCAGTTGACGCTGTCCTCGTCGCTGGCCTCGCCCCGGTCGTCTTTGGTCTCGGAGAGGCTGCTCTCGTCGATGTTCTCGAGGGAGTCGGCATGCTGGATGGCCAGATCCGAGAGCGCCAGGCTGGCCAGGGTGTTCTGCTCCGGATACAGCCAGGGCTTGAAGTGCGGGTTGTGTTTCTGCTTCCAGTCCGGGTACTTTAAGCAAGCCTTGTGCATCTTCTTCATCGCCTGGAGGGAAAGAGAGAGGGAAAGAGGAAGCAGCCGAGGCCAAAGCAGGGGGCGCTCCGGCTGTGGAATCGTAGAGTTGGAAGAGACCCCCAAGGTCATCTAGTCCAACCCCCTGCAATGCCCAACGTGAGACTCGAACTCGCAGCCCTGAGATTTAGAGTCTCGTGCTCTACCAGCCAGAGGAAGCTGCGCTAGTAAAAAGACAGTTAGAAAAGTATATAGACACAAATAAAGCTGTATTCGACGGACGAAAGGATATATGATTTCTGACATGATGGAGAATCGCAGAGCCAGAGGAGTTTAAAGAGTTAAAATCGAGATGTGGAAAATATGGAAACCAGGCAGGACTGTGATTTGGAGATATGCTTCAAGGTCCAGACTATGGGAAGTCCCGAAAAATTAATAATTATATTTTGGAAGATAATTTATTTATTTATTTTTATTGGATTATGATTTGATATGTTAATTGGATGTTTTTTTAATGGAAATTTAATAAAAATGATTTAACAACAAAAAAAAAGAGCCTAATGCTCTACCGAGCGAGAGCATATTCTATCCCTACCAGCCTCCTTCCCCTTCGGCAAATAAAGTTTCGGCTCCGGCGTCACAGTCCAAGCCGCACTCGTAGAATCGTAAAGTTGGAAGGGAACCCCAAGGGCCATCTAGTCCACCCCCCTGTCAGGCAGGAATCTCAGCTCCAGCATCCATCCAACCTCTGCTTTAAAAACCCCAAGGAAGGAGGTGGCCACGGATCTGTGTAATCCACCGGTTCTCTCCATTCCTCCAGGTTTCCGTTCCATCCGCTAGGTCACCTAAGACAAAACACTCCTGTCCACCCTTTTCTTGGCTCGCAGGCTTCTAGCATCAGTGTATAAACACTCAGAAGCATAGAATTGTTGGAAGGGACCCCTCGGGGTCATCCAGTCCAACCCCTACAATGCAGGAACATGCAGCTTATGGGGATCAAACCTGCAAGCTTGGTTTTATCAGCACCAGCCTCTAACCAGCTGAGCTATCCGGTTGTAAGCATTTGATTGTGTCGCGTGGCATCGCCTGCCCTTTGGAACTCCCTGCCTATTGAGATCAAGCAGGAGCCTTCCCTGTATTCTTTTCACCTAAGAACATTTCTGTTTAGACAAGCCCAGCCCAGATGCTTAGAAGGTCAATGTGAATTTTAATCTCTTTTGGTACGGCGCTCGCTTTGGCAGCACATATAATAAAATTGGAATGATACAGAAAAGTTTAAACCTGTTTTAGTATTTTAACTTTTTGTATGTTATAAACTAGATTTTCCTACATGTGCAAGCACTTAAGAAGTGTGCATGCACATGAAAGCTCATACCAATAACAAACTTACTTGGTCTCTAAGGTGCTACTGGAAGGAATTTATATATATATATTATACAGCAGACCAACACGGCTACCTACCTGTTACTAGATTTTCCTAGATTTTCTTATTTATATCTTTTTGCAAACCGCTCCGAGGTGTGGCTTTATTTTGATTTCATGTTGTGAACTGCCCTGAGATCTGAGCAGGTAGCCGTGTTGGTCTGACGCAGTCGAAATAAATAAATAAAAATAAAAAGTTGTCCAGTAGCACCTTAGAGACCAACTACCGGTAAGTTTGTTCTGGGTATAAGCTTTCGTGTGCATGCACACTTCGGCTTATACCCAGAACAAACTTAGTTGGTCTCTAATCTGCAACTGGACAATTTTTTTATTTTTTTTATTTAATAAACAACAGCAGCAGCAACAATTTAACAATGCAATGGTGTATAAATTTTATGAACTAAATCAATAACGATCTCCTCATCATTCAGCCCGGACCCTGAGGTCCAGCTCTGAGGGCCTTCTGGCGGTTCCCTCCCTGAGAGAAGTGAGGTGACAGGGAACCGGGCAGAGGGCCTTCTCGGTGGTGGCGCCCGCCCTGTGGAACACCCTCCCATCAGATGTCAAGGAAATAAACAATTATCTGACATTTAGAAGACATCTGAAGGCAGCCCTGTTCAGGGAAGTTTTTAAGAACTGATGTTTTAATGTATTTCTAACCTTCTGTTGGAAGCTGCCCAGAGTGGCTGGGGAGACCCAACTGGATGGGTGGGTATAAATAAATTATTATTATTATTATTATTATTATTATTATTATTATTATTATTATTAGAGACCACAAAGCTGCATCTGTCTGGCCCTGCATTTCAGACATGTACTGGGCTGATGCGTTCAATTTCACCACACGGCCTTCTGGATCTCATAACCCACCTTGATTTCTGAAGCAAAAGAACAGCATTGTCGTCATCTGTTCCCCCCCAGGTGGGGGAAAAAATCCCCAGACGATGAAATGAAATGAAACTCAAAAAACAGGCCTCCTTTGCTGAGCAGAAACCCCAGAAGAACTCAAGACACCTTCCGCCTCTGGAAAGCTAATATGCTCACGAAGAACAAATGTGTGTGCGTGCGCTCTCTCTCTCTCAGTTCTGGGTTTTTTAATTAAATGGAGGTATCGTCTCATTTGCTGATCTGCTCTGTTCTCCGGTGCCATGGAGGGGTTTAGCGTGACATCTCAGCAACAAGGCTAATTAATCCAGCGATGGGCTCATGGAAAAGGAGAGCGACGCGGCAACAGGGTGACCTGCCCAGGTCACGGGAGACGGCAGTGCGCTCAGGTGCCCTCTGTGGGTGTCAGCATCGAAGGAGGCCCAGCGCACTGCCAGCCTCACGTACGACGGCCTGGAGAGCCAGACCATGCGAGCCCAGCCTTCATCGCAGGTGCTTTCGGCAGGAACGAAACAGCAAGCGCCTTTAAAATCTCATTTCCCCCCCCTTGGCGGTTTCAGCCAAAATGCACAGAAACTAGGGGTGTTTTTCTGAGGTCCCCAACTGCTAACAACGGCTCTCCTTCATCAGAGGTTTTGAAGCAAAACAAGGATTATTTATTTCAATTGCAGGGGGCTGGACTAGATGACCGGGAGGGGTCCCACCCGATTCGATGATTCCGTGAGATAAAATTCCAATCGCACCACAAGGGGGTGCACTTGCAAGAACTGGCCGTCTGTGGAAAGCTTCCTGCTGCAGGGCATGGCATGGCGTTTATAGCCTGCCTTTTCTCTCTGAGGAACTCACGGACATAGCTCCCCCATCATTTAATCCCCACAACAGCCCTGAGAGAAGGCAGAGACTGAGCCAAGGTCCAGCCGCTGAGAACCACAGTCAAATGGGAGGATTTGAACTGTGGTCTGTCCAAAGTCCTCTAACCACTATACCATACTGTCTCATTTCGAGGCAGCGCCATGAAAGCCAGTGTTTTGAGGGAGAAGCCCAAGCGCATCCCAGGAACTGTGGGTTTGCACCATGAAAGACTCTTGTTTCCCTGGCACAGAAAAAGAAATGGATTTTATTTTATTGCAGTTAGGGGAGTGACTGAGAAAATTAGGAACGGATTTGGAATGTGACCAAGTGTAAACAGCCAACAAGCAAATCAGAAAGGATGCTCAATAAAGACCAAACGTAACCGAACCTTTTGCGAAAGTTATTCAAGATGGATCCTGAATAATATGAGAGAGGCAGTAGGGTGTAGCGGTTGGAGCATTGGCCTCTGGCCTACGAGAGAGCCGGGGTTCGAATCCCCAGCTGGCCATGTCCCTGTCTCCTTCACAGGGTTGTTGTGGGAACTAAAACAAGGGGGGGGGAGAGAACCATGGAGAAAAAGGCAAGATATAAATGTGTAAAATAATAAATAACCTGTTCGTCTCACGTGCAGAAAATGAGTTTAGCGAAAGGGGCTTAGGAGGCTCTGCCAGATCCTTTGGGGGTCCTGTGCAGCCCCATTTGTGATCCCCCAGGAAACAAATTTTTCCTCTGCGTCACCAGCCACAGTCCACACACTTATTATTTCCATGGAGAGAATAAGGCTGAGGCTGGCAAGGAAAGGGAAACACGGACAACGGGCAGCCAGACGGCGGGACGAAAGAGGCAAAGGAAGGAGGGACGGTTTTCTTGACTTACTTTTGGAGCGAGGAACTGAGAGGACTTGTTCACCACCCACTTTGGCAAAGAACCTGAGGAGGAGAAGAGTTTTTAGAGTCTGACACAGCCCCATACCCCAAGGAGAAGAAAACACCCACCCAAAAAAGTTGTACAAAATGCAGGCGGGAAGGAAACACAGTCTCTGGAGTCTTGGCCCCTACATACTGTATTTTTCCGTGTATAAGACGAGGTTACTTTACTAAAAAAGTATGGAAAATTTTGGGGGCCGTCTTATACACAAATAGTGGAGAGGTGGAATAATAATAATAATAATAATAATAATAATAATAATAATAATAATAATAATTTATTTGTACCCCGCCCATCTGGCTGGGCTTCCCCAGCCACTCTGGGTGGCTACCAAAAAAAATATTAAAATACTCTAATACATCAAACATTAAAAGCTTCCCTAAACAGGGCTGGGGTATTCCCTAATACAGTGATGGGGTATTGGCGGCTGCTGTGATCAGGAGATTGTCATCGGCGTATTTTCTTGTGATTGGCGGGTGAGGCAAGGTCCGCTGGCGATTTTCTGCTGCGGCAAATGGGTGGGCGATTGGCGCTTGCTTTTGGAAAGCCTGAAGAATTGGTTGTTTTGTTGATGTGCATGCGATTGGCTGTGGCGGTCCTGTGGGTGAGCAATTTCCGGCAATCACCCCCCAAAAAGCTCAACAACAACACCCCCCCCCCATTTCTCAATTTGGAGTGTCAAAAAAGAGGGGGTGCCTTATACACGGGGGCACGTTATACACTGAAAAATACGGTATGTGGTTTTCAACCCCAGGCTTGCAAACCAAAATCCCAAAGCAATGGACACCTTGCCCCCAAATGTCATAAGATGGTTTTTCTGCACCCTTCCAAAACATCTGGAACAATGACTCTCCTTCCTTGGAGGTTTTTAAGCAGAAGATGGATGGGCATCTGTCAAGGATTATTTAGTCGGGATTCCTGCATTGCAGGGGGTTGGACTAGATGACTACATGGGGCCCCTTCTGACTCTACAGTTCTGTGGTTCTATGAATGGCAGAGCAGACCCTCCAAGTGTCCTGATTTTCCAGGGACAGTCCCAGAATTACGGAAGCCGTCCCGGTTTCTGATTTGATCCTGGAATGTCCCGCTTTCCCTTCACCAGGGAAACGTTGGAGGGGATGGAACAGGACGTCCCTCTTTTCACCGGAGAAATGTTGGATGGGATGGGAGAGCCTGGGATGATGGATCTGGCTGGCGGCCCGTCTAATCTAGAGTCCTGGCCCCACAGTGACCAAACACTTATCTCCCGCTTGGACTACTGCTATGCGCTCTATGTGGGGCTACCTTTGAAGGTGACCCGGAAACTGCAACTAATCCAGAATGCGGCAGCTAGACTGGTGACTGGGAGCGGCTGCCGAGACCACATAACACCAGTCTTGAAAGACCTACACTGGCTCCCAGTATGTTTCTGAGCACAATTCAAAGTGTTGGTGCTGACCTTGAAAGCCCTAAACAGCCTCAAAGGCCCAGTAGACCTGAAGGAGCGTCTCCACCCCCATCGTTCAGCCCAGACACTGAGGTCCAGAGCCAAGGGCCTTCTGGCAGTTCCCTCATTGCGAGAAGCCAAGTTACAGGGAACCAGGCAGAGGGCCTTCTCGGTGGTGGCACCCTCCCTGTGGAACGCCCTCCCACCAGATGTCAAAGAGAACAACTACCGGACTTTTAGAAGGCAACTTAAGGCAGCCCTGTTTAGGGAAGTTTTTAATATTTAATGCTGTATTGTTTTTAACACTCGATTGGGAGCTGCCCAGAGTGGCTGGGGAAACTCAGCCAGATGGGCGGGGTATAAATAATAAATTATTATTATTATTATAATTATAAACAGATGGCCATGATGGGAAGCCCCGAAGCATAAGAACCTAAGACGAGCCAAGCCGCTTGACAGACAAGGAGGGTCTTCCTAAAATAAAGAGGCGTATTGAGGGTCCCTTGCGCCCCTGGCAAGGAGCTGTATTGGTGCGCACACACCCACCCACCCCAAATCACCTTTGTGCCACAGTGCAAGAAGGACAGGAAGCTTCTCCTTCGTGTGATCTTGCCCCGTTGCATAGCCACCCACACACACGGATATGCCATACGTTCTATACTATGATAGGCAGTGCTATTTTTCCAGAGAACTCGCCACAAACGCCTCCCTTGTTCTCTTAGAACAGGCACCCCCAAACTTGGCCCTCCAGATGTTTTGGGACTACAATTCCCATCATCCCTGACCACTGCTCCTGTTAGCTAGGGGTGAATCATAGAATCATAGAATCATAGAGTTGGAAGAGACCACAAGGGCCATCGAGTCCAACCCCCTGCCAAGCAGGAAACACCATCAGAGCACTCCTGACATATGGTTGTCAAGCCTCTGCTTAAAGACCTCCAAAGAAGGAGACTCCACCACACTCCTTGGCAGCAAATTCCACTGTCGAACAGCTCTTACTGTCAGGAAGTTCTTCCGAATGTTTAGGTGGAATCCTCTTTCTTGTAGTTTGGATCCATTGCTCCGTGTCCGCTTCTCTGGAGCAGCAGAAAACAACCTTTCTCCCTCCTCTATATGACATCCTTTTATATATTTGAACATGGCTATCATATCACCCCTTAACCTCCTCTTCTCCCGGCTAAACATGCCCAGCTCCCTTAGCCGTTCCTCATAAGGCATCCTTTCCAGGCCTTTGACCATTTTGGTTGCCCTCCTCTGGACACGTTCCAGTTTGTCAGTGTCCTTCTTGAACTGTGGTGCCTTCTTGAACTGTGGGTGATGGGAGTTGTAGTCCCAAAACATCTGGAGGGCTGAGTTTGGGGATGCCTGTCTTAGAATGACAATGGCACCCACCTGAGAGGGGCCGGATCTGAGTTCCGGCAAGTTCCGGCTGAAAAAAAGCCCTGATGATAAGGTGATTTTTGCACACGCACCCGGCAGAGGCTGGCTTCGCCAACCCCTAGGTACGCCTCTACCTAAGTAACTCACTGTGATTTGAACCTGCTTGTGTAGGTCCTACATTCTGAGCCTGCAGCAAAGGAAAATGGATTGTCTCCATCAGCATCTATGTGGCAGCCCTCCAGATACAGTCATACCTCAGGTTACAGCTGCTTCAGGTTGCGTTTTTTTGGGTTACAGACCACCGAAACCAGGAAGTACCGGAACGGGTTACTTCCGGGTTTCAGCGGTTGAGCATGCGCAGAAGCACTAAATCGCGCTTTGCACATGCGCAGAAGCGCTGAATTGCAACCCGCACACGCACAGACGCGGGTTGCGAACGCTGCGGGTTGCAAACATTCATCCCGTACGGATCACGTTTGCAACCCGAGCATCCACTGTTATTGGAAGGTGGCTCTCATGTCGCCTCTTAAATGTCTCTTCTTCTCCAGGCGATTAGGCAACCTCAGGAGGAGGAGGAGGAGGAAAGGGCTATCGAAGGCTACTAGCCAGAATGGCTGTGATCTGCTTCTTCCACAGTTAGAGGCAACAATGCTTCTGAATGCCAGCTGCTGGAAACTGCAGGAGGGAAGAGGGGTCTTGTGTTCGAATCCTGTCGGTTTCCCTTTAGGGCATCTGATTAGCCACTGTGAGTACAGGATGCTGGACCATTGGCCTGATCCAGTAGGCTCTTTTTCTGTTCTTATGGTCCTCAGTGTCCTTCACCTTTCCCAAAGATTCATCTTCTCCAGAGCTGGCAGAAATCCCCTGCACAGCTGGAGTTTGTGCTTAAAGGACTAAAAAAAGGATAACTCCCAAATCTGCCCAGCTTTAGTGGCGGCAAACTCCCCGCGTCAGTCGCTGGCGCTTAGCAAATTCCGCGCTGCCGAACGGCACAGGGGCTCCGTTGCAGAGACGCCGTTCTCTTGGCAGCCTGGACAGACTCCAAGGTCAGAACTAGAGAAGGGCCTTTACAGGCTCAGACACGGCTGATTAGGAGCAAAGCTGGAGAAGAGAGGATTTAATGGGTGGCCGAGGCTGCAGAGAACGAGGCTCCGCTGGCTCCCCTTCCTCCTCTCCCTGCTTTGCTAAAAATAGCCTGAATAATTCTGCAACAACCATCCCTAAACCCTGACCATAAATTATGCAATATTTCTTGCATAATTGGAGCTTTGTCAATTGCATCCATTGATGGGAGATTCGGGACAGAATTAAAAAAGGACTTTTTCCACGCAGCGCAGAGTCAAACTATGGAGGCAGTGATGGCCACTAACCTGAATGGCTTTAGAAGAGAGTTGGACAAATTCATGGAGGAGAAGAGGGCTATTGGTGGCTCCTAGCCATGATAGCTAGGAAATGTATGGAAGTGAGAGCTGGACCATAAAGAAGGCTGATCGCCGAAGAATTGATGCTTTTGAATTATGGTGCTGGAGAAGACTCTTGAGAGTCCCATGGACTGCAAGAAGATCAAACGCATCCATTCTTAAGGAAATCAGCCCTGAGTGCTCACTGGAAGGACAGATCGTGAAGCTGAGGCTCCAGTACTTTGGCCACCTCATGAGAAGAGAAGACTCCCTGGAGAAGACACTGATGCTGGGAAAGATGGAGGGCACAAGGAGAAGGGGGCGACAGAGGATGAGATGGTTGGATAGTGTTTTCGAGGTTACCAGCATGAATTTGACCAAACTGCGGGAGGTAGTGGAGGACAGAGGTGCCTGGCGTGCTCTGGTCCATGGGGTCACGAAGAGTCGGACACGACTAAACGACTAAACAACAACAACAACAAAGCCATGATAGCTATGCTCTGCTTCCAAGATCAGAGGAAGCAGAGGATCAGAGCGTCCATTCACACTTACCATTTGTGATAGGAATTTTATGGTCTTAGATATATGGTAATGTTCATAACCGCACATACATAGATCAGCACAGGAAGACCAACCTGGAACCATTTTGATTCCTAAACTGACCAAATGTTTTCTCTGCAGGGTCAAAATGGAAAAGCCTCCCCATTGTCTCTTCCTTCACAAATCCTGTCTTAAGGGCACATTTAAGATATGAATAGGGTGTGAGCCTGTGACCTGGCCCAGGAACTAAGTATTTATCACTACAAAAGACTGGCCAGGCTCTGCAGGAAATCCAATCAAGTAACCTGCCAGACAGGAAATAAACAAGGATAAGAGAAAAACAATATTGATATTTCTGTTTTAAGACCACCTTTTCTGTGATGTATCTGAGGGGTGGTCTTAGGTTACACCCCTCACGTGATGTATGTATGATGTTTCTGGGGGTGGTCTTGATCTACAGGATGGGAATTTCAAAAGTCTTTATAAGCCCTTGCACAGCATTTTTCTGGGTTCCTCCTCCCTCCTGTGTGTGTGAGGGGAGCACCCTGTTGCAACAGATCAATAAAGATCAGGCTTACTAGCTGCTTTGCTTCTCAATATTCTCTGGTTGGCCTCTGTTATTTTCTCCTGCCAATAGGCAACCTATGTAAGGACTCTATATGGGCTCTTGGATACCCCATAAGGGAAAAAGGGCATATTAATCCCATCATTTTCAGGTCTGCATTTTCCCAGTCCGTATCCAAGTGCTTTTTTCCCTTTCTGCTGCTTTCTCCAGGAAAACCCAATATTTACCCCTGAATCAGAACCAACGGCAATTTGGGTTTCCCGCAGATTGCTGATTCAGGAGTAAAGAGCAGGCTTTTTTGCAGAGAAAGGGCAGGGGACAAAAATTTGCTCGAATGCAGCAGACCTATAAAGATTACACCTGTGCCTAGAAATGCAGAGCAAAGCTAAGTGTGGCTGAGCCCTGAATACCAGTTTCTGGAAACCAAAGGAGGGGAGAGTTGCCCTTGCATTCAAGTTCTGCTTGCTATGCCCCGCAGAGGACCTTAAGGTTCATGAATAACCAAAGTTTAGAGGTCCCGGGCCCTGAGGAAGTCAGGCTATCCTCCACCAGGGCCAGGGCCTTCTCAGTGATGGCTCCGACCTGGTGGAATGCTCTGTCCCATGAGATTAGGGACCTTCAGGATTTAACCTCCTTCTGTCTGGCCTGTAAGACAGAGCTATTCCGCCTGGCCTTTAATTTGAATTCAGCCTGATCTTTTATTTCCCTTCCCTCACCCGCTAATTCTCCCCTGGACTCCAAGTAGGACTACTTCAGCCAGCTAGCCCTGGGGATTATCTAATGCTTATTTCCCCTAAATTGATTTTTGAATTTTATTGTTATTCATGTTTTTATACTGTATTTTATGTTGCTTTTATAATTAAGTGTTTTAAAGTGTTTTAAATTTGTTGTTAGCCGCCCTGAGCCTGGTTTTTGAACCGGGAAGGGCGGGGTATAAATAAAAATTTATTATTATTATTATTATTATTTATTTCCCACAAGCATCCGATCTACCCCTTGAGAACAGGATGCCGGACTAGATGGGCCAAGGGCCTCATCCAGCAGCCTCTTCTCATTTTCTTATGCATGCGTGTGCGTTCTTGCAGAGAGAAAGAACTCTATGATTTCTACTCAACTTGTCCGGGAGCAAGGAAGAAGCTTGGACGAGTAATATTTCAAAATAAGAAGTTGTGTCACTGTTCATAGTGAGTCAGGATGCCGACGCCGCCCAAGAAATTGTGGCTCTTCATGGACCTTACCTTTGGGGTCTACCTGGGCCAGGTAGGTGAGGCTGCAGTTCTTTTCTCCTTTCCCCTGGATCAGGTAACCAGTTTTAATGGAGACGGCCCTCACCATGTCTTTCCTAGGAGGGTATTTCTGGCAAAGGCAAAAAAAAAAAAAAAAGACAGGTGAAACTGAAATTCTGCCATAAGTCAGCCAGGACGGCCATCCTTGCAGCTCCCAAACTGCCAGCAAGGAGTGCCCTCCTTTCTCCAAATCTGGAGTTAATTTAGGGGAAAGATGTGCTTCTTGGGGGGCGGGGGAGCTGTTGTTGGTGCTGACCTTGAAAGCCCTAAACGGCCTTGGCCCAGTAGACCTGAAGGAGCATCTCCACCCCCATCGTTCAGCCCAGACACGGAGGTCCAGCGCCGAGGGCCTTCTGGCGGTTCCCTTCCTGCGAGAAATGAGGTTACAGGGAACCAGGCAGAGGGCCTTCTCGGTGGTGGCACCTGCCCTGTGGAACGCCCTCCCAGCAGATGTCAAAGAGATAAACAACTACCAGACTTTTAGAAGACATCTGAAGGCAGCCCTGTTTAGGGAAAGTTTTTAATGTTTTATTGTGTTTTTAATAATCCTGATGGAAGCCGCCCAGATAAGCTGGAGAGGCCTGGCCAGATGGGCGGAGTATAAGCAATAAATCAATTCTTATATTAGACCTCCCTGTGGGAGTCGTATGGCGTGTTGAGGGCGGGGGAATCCCAATTGCTGGAAACCATGGGAGGCAAGAGGACTCTTGCTCTCATGTTTTTCTCCTTGGTTTCCCGAAGACAGGATCCGATGGATGGAGTGGACCAGACCAAGAGTGGGTCAAAGGGTGAAGAAGAAGGGAGCTCATCTGGGAGAAGGAAAACACTGGTCCTAAACCTCTGCTGCCTTCTGGGGTATCTTTGGGAGAAGAAAAGGAGAAAGGAGGACACCCTACACAAATGTGGAGTGGGGTCCCTAAGGCGGTTGGATGGCAGACATCAGCAAGGCCAAGAGGGGGGTCTTGCCATCTGCACAGCCCGGGACCTCCATACATACTGCCTGGGCTTGGACCCCGGGGAGGTGAAACGGATGTTTTGTGTTGCCCATAAGAGTTTCTTAGATTTCCACATGTGCCTCCCCAACAGGACATCAAAAAGGGCTCCTGATTCAATATAACATGGTGCCGTTTTCACCCTGATCTGCTGGTGCAAAACAGCTCACAGCTTAAAAAACCACAACTGTGCTGTCTGGGGCTTCTGGGAGATGTAGTCCAAAGCAGCTGGAAACTGCCAGGTTAGAGATGCTCTGGACATTTAAAAAAACTGCCTCTTCTCACTCAGACGTTGACTAAGCAAAGTTTTGGTTCTGGGCAAGGTATTATTTATAGGTATATGATATCATGGTCTGGGATCCAGAATTGTGTTTAGGTTTTTAAATGAGGTGCCCACTTCTGAACTGCGGACTTACATTTTAAACACTTTATAATAATCCCAAAACGACGGTCTGTCTATTTGGGAGAGGGCAGGTGATGGTGAGAAAATGTCACTGGGGAAAAGGCTCTGGCTGAGTGGACCCAACTTCTGTCTCTCAGTGTATTCAGGGCAGAATCTCCTCCAGACATTCCCTGAAACCCCCTGAATTTCCTTATTTGGTCCTTTCTTTCATTTTCCAGGTTTTTAAGGGGTCCACTGGAGGGTCAGGGTAAAAAATGGAATTGCATTATATTAATTTAGGAGCCCCCAACCTTTTTTAAGGGCTGGGGGCGCACGCGGAAATTTAAGGAAGAGTCGTGGGCACCCCAAAATGCCCATTTCACAGAAGAAACCCTGACAACGCTCAGAATTCCCCCACCCCAAAATGGTCAAAATGCTGAGACCCAAAGAAAATAAAACAGAGAGAAAAGCAAGCCCCCCCCAAACCACAAACACACACACAGGCAACCCCTCTGATGAATAACAGTGGGGGAAAGGCCCTTTGCAGATGCCAGGGGGGGTCTTAGGGCACCATGGTGCCCCCGGGGTGCCCCATTCAGGACCCCAGTATTAAATCATCCTAAAGGGAAATCCTTCCTGTTTAGCTTTTCCTATAACAGGCATGCCACTTACTGGAAGCTCAACCCCAGAATTTCTGCTGCACCTAAAACTCTAGCGCATGTGTAAGAGGTAAAGGACCCCTGGACGGTTAAGTCCAGTCAAAGGCGACTATAGGGTTGTGGCACTCATCTTTCTGAGTCATGTGGGCAGCAGGACTAAACCGCTTCTGGCGCAACGGAACACTGTGATGGAAACCAGAGCACATGGAAACGCCTTTTAGATTCCTGCCGCAGTGGTACCTACTTATTTACTTGCCCTGCTCTGCTTTCGAACTGCTAAGTTGGCAGGAGCCAGGACCAAGCAAAGGGAGCTCACTCCGTCGTGGGGGTTCGAACTGCCGACCTTCTGTTCGGCAAGCCCAAGAGGCTCAGTGGTTTAGATCACCCGCATCTGTGTATAGAACACCATCCATGCGCACCCCTCCTCCTCGCTCCCCCCTCCAGAAAAAGCCTGTCGCTCACGGGATGTTTGACGGAGTAGTTCATGATGATGAAGTCGTTGCCCATGGGGAGCCAGGAGCGCAAGGTGATGACGTCTCGGTTCTTCAAGGGTTTGGGGCATTTCCCTGCCAAAAAGCGGGGAGAGAGGAGAGGGAAGGTCATCTCAGGAGAAGCAGACAGACATCCTGGCTTGCAACTAACAACTCTCACTCCGCTCCCTGCAGCAAATCTATTGTGTATTTATAACTCCACACCAAAAAATTATATGCCTCTCGGTTGTGTAGAGAAAAAAACCCTCAAAGCGGCTTATGGCAGGAAAAAAGTATCAAGGTTATAACTAAAAACAAATAAAGCAATCGCTCTTTTTTTATTAAACGACAAGAACAACACAGCGATAAACTAAAAACACACCAGCATTCTGAACTTCTAGATAGGCTTGCCCAAAGGAGAATGCCTTTAGCACATGCCAAAAATGCAGGGAAGGCGCCTGGCGGATTTCACTAGGCAGGGAGTTTCCAAAGTGCGTCTGAATGTGTGCAGATTAAACTTGCAGGGGAAGCTTCCAGGTTAGTTTGCTGCTGGGTTGCCAACTTGAATAAAATATTGAGGGGGCCCAGGGTCAGTCCCACCCCTCATAATCAATTACATGATGCAGTGTACGCACACCGTTTGAATGATGTGGGGGCCAGCCTAGGGTTACCAGATGTCCCCGGTTCCCGGGGACAGTCCCCAGATTTGCAAATCTGTCCCCAGACAAATTCTGTCCCCAGATTTGCAAATCTGTCTCCGGAAAATGTGGCAGTGGCAGCCTCAGCTCTGGCTGGCTTCAGGAGCTGCTCGCTGCTGTGGCGCACGCCATTTTCCTTGCCGGAACTTCTGGGTGCCATGGCAGCGGGCAGCTCCTGAAGCCAGCCAGAGCCAACTGCGCTACCAGGCTGGCTCCGGGCTGCTGACTGCCGCCGCTGCTGCCACTGCTGAAGGGGAACCGGGGATATCCGGCAGTACAGATCTCCTGCCCCCTTTGTTTTGACTGATTGGGGGAGGCTCGGGAGTTGCGGGCGGGTGGCCATTGCCCAGTTTTTTAAAAACTCTGCGCATTTATGTTTCACAGGGTGCGAAATAAGGACTTTGCACCTTTATACAATATGCAAGTGTGCTTGGGCCAAGGGTCTTTTGCCTCACCATCTCCACTACTGACTCCCTGTTGCTACTCAGCTTCAAGAAAGAAAAAAAGAGAGTGTCCCCGGATTCATTGAAAAAAATCTGGTAACCATAGCCCAGCCCCCTCAAATATTTTATGGGGGGGGCAAAGCCCCCACGGCCCCTAGGAGTTGGCTCCTATGGTTTGCTGCAGCATAAAGGGCAGTTGTCATTGGGCACCCCTGACATTTGATGTTGTCACCGAAGAGTAAAGTTAAATGCCCTGTGCTTTAAGGGTGATGTGCTGGCGGAGGCACTGCAGCCATAAGGCCACGATCCAGAATCCAGTGCCCTCTGAGCATGCGAAGCTTCCTTAGGTGGCTGTCAGCATCACCTCAAAGATGTGGGAGGGAAGCAAGGCACACACACACACACACACACACACACGAGACTGAACAGAAGAGGCTGCTAGCTAGTAAGCCATCAACAGCCCTCTCCTCCGGGGTTGACTAGAACACGGCTGCAGTTTCAGGAGAGACCCCTAGATTTGGCTCTGCTGGCCTGGCACCCTCCAGACCTTTGGGGCTGCAACTCCCAGCAACCCAGCCAGCACAGCTGGGCTGTTTTGGGGAAGACCAAAACATCTGGGCAAAAGCATCTGGGCAACTGATGGCTCTAAATAACGGCAACCGGTGGCAGCCTGCCTTTCCAAACCTGGGACCCCCAGACGATTTGGGGAGCAGCTCCCAAGAGTCTCAGCCAACAGGAGCTGCAGTTCCAAACATCTGGAATGCCCCTCTTTGGCGGAGGCTGCCAATAGCCGCCCACACAAACTCCCCCAGAGTCTCACAGGAGTAGTATCCCACGTCGGCGTTGACCGTCAGCTTGCCGATGTCGAAGGTCTCAATGACGTTTGTGTCCCACTTTTTCCTGTACTCGATGTCATGCAGGACGTCATAGAGGGTTTCTGCCGCGACATCCTTGCACTCTATCCTGCACTGGAGAGAAACAGGGCGTCAGAAACCTAACAGCAGCCCAAACGCCGGCACTAATGTCCGCCGGACCCCTTTCAAGCTGGAGTAGGGAACCCTTGGGCCATGTAGGAAGATGCTTTTTACGGAGTCGGAGCCATTGGTCCACCTGGCTCAGTGTGGTCGACACTGACTGGAAGAGGCTCTTCACAGTTTCAGGCAGGGGGTCTCTTTCCCAACCCTGGATGTCAGGGACCGGGCCGGATGCTGGAAGACCCCCCAAGTGCCCCTATTTTCCAGGGACAGTCCAGGATTTACGGAAGTTGTCTTGGTTTCTTATTTGACCCCAGAGTGTCCCACTTTTCCTTAGGACGTCCCTATTTTCATGGGAGAAATGTTGGAGGGGATGAAAGAGGACTTCCCTATTTTCATGGGAGAAATGTTGGAGGGGATGGAGTTATCTGAACCCTGAGCCGTCTGAAGGCAGCCCTGTATAGGAAAATTTTTTAAAGTTTTATTATGTTTTGATATATGTTGGAAGCCGCTTAGTGGCTGGGACAACCCAGTCATTTGAGTCTGGCAAAAATTGCAAAATTGTTATTGCTGTTGTTGATTAGGATGTCCCTATTCTGTGCCAGCCAGGAAGCAAGAGTTGGAGGCAGGAGAAGTTTCGGAGCTGGAGGGATGGGCTGGAGGATGAGGAAGAAGAGGAGGAAGAGGCAGGCCAGGCAAGTGAAGGGCCAAGTGCTTCCGCTCCTCTCTTGCATGGCTGTCTCCCAGAACCAGGAGGGGGCTGAAAAGGGAAGAGCAGAGGCATCTTCAATGCGGGCATAGTCTCCGACTACATGTGCGCAGCCTGTTGGGGGAAGGTATGTCAACTGGTGGAGGGTATGTCAACTGGTGGAACACAGACCTGGGAACAACCCGTCTTGAGAAGATATTTCATGAGCTAGCAGCATTCAAAGGGCAGAGCTGAAACGACACCCACCCATATATATACATATACATATACATATGTTGTTGTTGTTTAGTCGTTTAGTCGTGTCCGACTCTTCGTGACCCCATGGACCAGAGCACGCCAGGCACCTCTGTCCTCCACTACCTCCCGCAGTTTGGTCAAACTCATGCTGGTAACCTCGAAAACACTATCCAACCATCTCGTCCTCTGTCGCCCCCTTCTCCTTGTGCCCTCCATCTTTCCCAGCATCAGTGTCTTCTCCAGGGAGTCTTCTCTTCTCATGAGGTGGCCAAAGTACTGGAGCCTCGGCTTCAGGATCTGTCCTTCCAGTGAGCACTCAGGGCTGATTTCCTTAAGAATGGATGCGTTTGATCTTCTTGCAGTCCATGGGACTCTCAAGAGTCTTCTCCAGCACCATATATATATGTATATATATACACCATATTTTTCGCCCTATAGGACGCACTTTTTTCCCTCCAAAAATGAAGGGGAAATGTGTGTGCGTCCTATGGGGCGAATGCAGGCTTTCGCCGAAGCCTGGAGAGCGAGAGGGATCGGTGCGCACCGACCCCTCTCACTCTCCAGGCTTTGCGGACCTCTCTGCAAGCAGCGGGAGCCAGCGCTGGGCTCCCACGGCTTGCAGAGAGCTGCCTGTTTGGGGGCTGGGGTTGGGGAAAGCTCAGGCCTCCCCCGCCCCAGCCCCGCGCCTAGGGGGGAAAATAATTTTTCCCCCTTTATTTCCCCCCAAAAAAACTAGGTGTGCCTTATGGGACGGTGCGTCCTATAGGGCGAAAAATACGGTATATATATGGCATGGTTTTATTTCTTACACAAATATCGAGGCACATGGTCACTCAGTGCCTCCACCATACGCAAATGTCTGGCTCATTCAAGGCTATGCAGAACCTTTATTCTCAATCCGCTGGTGAATGCTCTTGTTTTTCTAAATTTTTATTATTTGTAAATGGGGAAGAAAGATCCCCGTATTAATGAGACACATAACCCCCCTTGAAAAGTGTTTCCTGTCTCAGAGCTGAAATGCCTGAAAGTCCCATTTTGAAAGAAGTGTTTCACTTTCAGAGCTGCCAAAGTTTGCAGCATCCTTTTGCAGAATAATCTTCCCTCCAAATAACCAACGGCCAACGTTTAAATAAATCTGCATTTCAACATCTCAATAAAGTTGCCTCAGAGGCCTTGTTGAAGATAGTTAGGAGAATTTTTTAAATTGCATAAGAGAAACATCTGGAAATATACCGTATTTTTTGCTCTATAAGACTCACTTTTTCCCTCCTAAAAAGCAAGGGGAAATGTGTGTGCGTCTTATGGAGCGAATGCAGGCTGCGCAGCTATCCAGAAGCCAGAACAGCAAGAGGGATTGCTGCTTTCACTGCGCAGCGATCTCTCTTGCTGTTCTGGCTTCTGAGATTCAGAATATTTTTTTTCTTGTTTTCCTCCTCCAAAAACTAGGTGCGTCTTGTGGTCTGGTGTGTCTTATAGAGCGAAAAATACGGTACATAAAGTAATCCCACCCTAATCACAATCTTTATAGATAATTATAGGCACACTTCAGTTATTTCTGTGACCATGATAACAGTGCAAGCCTACACAATCCTGCACACGGCTACTCAGAAGTAAGTCCCCCCAAGAGCAATGGAACTTACTCTCAAGTAAATTAGCCAGGATTGCAGCCTCACTGTCAACAACAAGTTCAAATGCTCGCCTTCGTTGTTGTTCCAATAATTTAATAAACCAAAGCCAATTATCACAGTAACGGATTATGTCTTCTTCCTTTAGTTACAGCGTAATTTATCCATAATTGCATATTCATATAATTTGCTTTTTCATTCCTTAATTGGGGAAATTACATTCCTCTCCAAACGTCTCGAGCTAAAAAGCTTGCATGTAAACAAAACAATGCAAATTCTGATTTACAGCTCTTGCACATGACATCATTTTATACTGTTGATGTGAACCTTATCTTAATTATTGTTTGCTGCTTGGGGGTGGGGTGCTTGCGTGGCCAAAAGGCAGGCTAAGGAAATACGAAGGAAGAAATGAAATTTGCAGCTTAATAGAGAGAAGCTCCCTCTTGTAAGAAGAGCCATTTGCAAAATTCGAACGCAGGACCAAATTAGCCTCAGCTCCCCCATCACACACAAACACAACACACAGTCCAATTTTAATTACTGTATATCTACACTCAAAGATTTAAAACGGGCTCTCAATGGAAAAATCAAATAGGCACCACGGATCAGACAAAAGATTTCTACAAAGTGCTACAACGTTAGGAAATTCAAGTGCTTTCAGCCTCAAATGATCAGAAATTTAACTTCTGCAATGCAATTTTGTTTCCTTCTCAGAAGCATATTTCAACACAGTCTCTGCTTTCGCCCAGAGATAAAGATTGTTGTTCAGTAAGCACAGGGAGAGGCCTGCTGGGTCAGACTAGACCAGAGGCTTATCTAGTGCAACTTCCTGTTCCAGAAACTCACAAGCAGGACACGAGTGCGAGGCACGCTCCCTACATCTAGGGCAGATAAAAGTATTTCTTCACGCAGCCATGGAGAGCCCTCTCCTCCTCCCAGAATCTGTCTGATCCTCTTTCAAAGGCGTCTAGGTTGGCGGCCACCCCTGTGGCAGGGAGTTCCACAGGTTAACTATGTGCTGTTTCCATCGCTCTGTCCTGAATGTTACTCCAGTCAATTGCCATCCCTGTGACCCAACTACCCTAAGGAGATGAGCAGAGCCTGGCTCCTGGGTCAGGGGGGCAAAGAGCTCCTCATCTGCCCCCCCGACCTCTTCAAAGAGGACTCAGCCAACCAGGTGCCCCCGTGGGAAACCACTCTCTCCCCTCCAGTGGTTTCCAGAAACTGGGATTCAGAAGCCCTGCTGCCTCCGAGGTGGAGACAGAGAGCATAGCCATCGTGGCAAATCTCCATGAATTGCCATGAATTGCCTAATTCTCTTTTAAAAGCATCCCAGGCGGTGACCATCCCCACCTCCTGTGGCAGTGAGTTCCACTGTTTAACTGTATTGTTGGTGGAGAATTAAAAACGGCTTTTGCCAATGGTACTTAACTCCGGTAAAATTGGCTAAAATTTACAAATTAAAATCAAACACCTGTTGGAGATGCAAAAAAGAAATAGGAACAATGTTTCACATGTGGTGGGAATGCCGACCTATTAAACAATTTTGGAATGAAATTTATGAAGAACTCAAAAAGATGTTTAAAATATCCTTCAGTAAAAAACCGGAGGCATTCCTTTTAGGTTTAATCACCAACGATATTCCCGACAATCAAAGGAAAGTATTCCTTTATGCAACAACAGCTGCCAGGATGCTTATAGCAAAAAACTGGAAAGGGAGAAATATTTCATCAGTGAAAGAATGGCAAATTAAATTTTGTGAATACATAAATCTGGCAAGACTCACAGCATTCATAAGGGGACAATCGGACCAGAAATTATTAAATGAATGGGGATGTGCCAAAGAATATATGAAAAAACATTGTTCTGGAGTAAGTATATATGCAATGAATGATGCTTTACAGGGTTAAAGAAAAAGAAAAATGGTTTTAAAAAAAGTACAAAGATGGAAGTAATCTATATTAGACACAACATTACAGTAAGAGTAAATTTTTTGAGGTCTTAGAACAAAGGAAGAAAGTCAATATGTGTATATGTATGTAATAACTAGATTAGAATGATATGGTTTACTTCTGTAGATGTGTGCCTTTTCGATTTTTTGTTTTGTTTTGTTTCCTCTGTTGTTGTTTTTTTGTGTGGTTTTTTCCCCTCATTCTTTTTGTATGTTCCGTTTTTGTTTGTTTGTTTGTATAGTATTATTTTGGATTCAATGTTTGTAATTTTTGTTATGATTCTGCATTGAAAATAAATAATAATAATAATAATAATAAAACGGCTTTTGCTGCAACACAATGACCCCTCTGGAAACCTTCAGGGACCTGACTTTATTTTCATTTAAAATGCATCTCTGGGTTATTTGTGGGGCATAGGAATTCATTCTTCTTCTTTTTTCTTTCCCCAAAATATAGTCCGTCCCCCCACAA